CATGAAATTGTGATGTTATGTATAAAATATCCCTTCAGTTACATGATATTTATGTTACAATGCTGCATGAATCCATTAATAAGATGAAAAATGGATGACATCAAGACGTAGCTCAGAGAAATAAACTCTATGCTCTCAGTGAATGTTTTTCAAGCCTGCAGATCATCACGAGGCACAAGAACAATCCAAAGATACTTAATTTAAACACATGACAAACTCAGAAAATAAACAACACATGTCCAGTATTTAAAGCCGTTGGCTGCAACTCAAAGTAGCAAGTAATTCCTTTTGATCAGCATCATTTTATTTCATGAAGTACTTCATCAGCTGCTGGTGCACACTGGCTAAATTCAAATGATTCTTCAAGTGACTTGACACGATTGTAAGCCGACTCTCTGATAAATCCCTTACCACACTGCAAGCAAACACTCTACAAGCCCTGTGTTTATCTTTCAAAGCCCTCTCTATCCAATAGGGCTGCTCTTCTAAGACAAAGAGAAGGACAGGATAGTACTCAGCTGCTCATTTCTACAAACCATGAGCTTGTCTGTGAGCTGGTATCATCTCAGACTGAGTCACTTCTTTTAAAAATGGCCTTCCAAACCATTACTGCTGACCTAAATCAGAAAAAAAACACTAACCGAACCAAATGTTTTAAAAACAGTTATATATTTTACATCAAATTATTTTGTCCTATCCTACCTGGTATATCAAATGCTTATGCTTACAATTGACCAAAGAATTAATGTTGTAAACCTCATTTTAATCTGATCTGAAATTACCCTAGTTGGCAATACAAGATCTAAAGTATTATTTTCAGGAATATAAGAGGTTTTTTGCCATTGTGTGGCCCTCCACCAGCTGCCTCTCAAATGGCTTTGAAATGTTTCATCCACTCAGAGTCCACAAATCAAGACTGCCGTGTTAGGACTGCCAAGGTATGGAACGAATGACACTCAGATTTATGAGACCACTTAAAATGGTACACACAAGGAGGCGGATATGTACTCTGGCTGATTGTTTCTATGACTTGCCAGAGCAACAAAGAGGGCATCTTTCATTTGCAGAGTGAGTGAAAAGTATATTTATGCAGTTGGGAACAAGTGTCACTATTGCCATAACCTAGCTCAAGGGAAGATGGGGGGGACGGGAGACCACCAATTACTTCCAACTAAGAAAACAAACAAAAGATGTTTTGTTTTTTTTACTGAACTAAAACAGAAAAGAAATCAATGGATGGAACATCAGTGGTTTTTATGATGCATGAATGAGCTGTGGGGATGTTGTATGGTGCAGCAAACAAACCAAAAGAGTGGAATTCAGGGGAGAGAGAAGGAGTTGACTACCACCAAGACAGCAGGCAGTCAGTCCAGGTGAATTATCCACAAGGATGTGTCAAAAAGCCCACATGTCGCAGTAGGAACAGCACAGGTGTACATTATAAAATCAATGATAGTTAGCTTTAGTTTCAGGGTACTGGTGTTGTGCATGCTGGTTCACCTTTCACACCTTCTCTAGTAAAACAAGTAAAGATGTGAAATAAAATCTAAATAAGGAATAAAAGAGTAGCAGGAAATATAACCAAATTTGATCCTATAGAAGTCACATATCACCTATTTTATTAATGGAAGCATGTGGTCTTGCTTTGCAAACAAACTATGATCTAACATATGTGGGCAGAGTGGCCCTGTACACACACCAGGTGCTAATTAGAGCTCCACTCACCTTGTAGTTGGATGGAGACATGCTACGGGAAAGGGGAGCTGTCAATCAAACACAACACACCTACAAAGCCTTTAGAGGAGGTCTAATCAACCAGTAAGTGAAAACAGCTGTGTAGGAGCACCACAGCTGTGTAGGCCCAATAATAGTCTCTTAAGTCTTTGGACATTGCTCAAAATTAAAGCACATGGCACCATCTTGTGGTTATATCCTGTTACTTCACATCATTGCTGTCACATCTTAAAACCATCGATGGATCCCCACAAGAACATTAAATAAATCCCTATTATTTTCAAAATAAAACTGTATATATATATCAAAGTCCATGCACAACAACACTTCATTTGTACTGATATTTAATATTTAGACATGGGGCAACAGCCATTTTTACAGCACAATTTGCATAATTTATCAATACCTCCTGTATACAATCACAAAACCATGACAGTAGATTTTTTTTCAGTTTACTTACAAGTGAAAAACCAGACTGGTTTTACAAGCATAATCTTTGTACAGTCAGCATACATCATCAATAATTTTAATAGGTTTTCTTCATAATTTCCCCCTCTATAACATTTTGTCCTATATCTTTCTCTACCTCATTCTTTTTTTTTCTTTAATAATATCTGGACACAAAAATAGTATGAACCACCAACGAAACATGCAACATCCAGTGTGAGCACATTTAAATTCTCCTGCAACTGCTTGAGTTGTTAAGATAGACTTCTGTGTAGTTAGACTCTGGTAAACCTTTAGTGTTTGGTGTAAAGGGTTGGGTAAATCTGGGTCCCTATAGACAGACATAAGGTCCCTTCTATCCACTGTACATTGATCGAGAGAAAAACAACTTTCTTTTACTTCTAGGATCACACACCTTTTTTTGTCTGCTAAAAGACCTATTGCTCCCCAAACCCCAGTATAAAAAGCTATGTATTTACAAGGTTGGAAATAGAGAGATGGCATCTGTGTGTGTGTGTGTGTGTGTGTGTGTGTGTGAGCGTGTGTAATTCCTTGTGTGTTACGAGAGATTTCAAAGTCGATATTTTTAGACAGACAACACTTAAAAGAAGAGATATGCATTATAGCCAATGACATGCATGGACTTGGTATGAAGATGCTACACACACAAGCACATGGGTATAAAAATAAGGCAAAACAAAAAACACACACTGACCTTAAAACTACTATCATTTCAGGTATAATGTCCATTGATTACAATGTTGTCTTTTTTGGTCATTTCTCATACACATACTGGAAAAGGAAACTATTCAAAGGGGGAGTGCATAAAAAGATGTGAATCTGAATAGGAAAGCTATTTTTTCTTACCTTGGTTCTTAACTACGTGAAATTCGGGATCTATGCATGTTAATTTCCGTATGTGAGTGTGTGTTCGTGCACAAGGGCAAAAAACGTTGGTTCTCTGAGTTTCAGGCCTTCTAAACCTTGTAAACAAGCACTATAGTGTATAAAAACAAAATTTTCAACTTTTTTTTATGTACAACTGATATGTACTGTAAACAAATATAATACAACATATGAAATAGTTTCACAGGCAATAAATAAAGATTCATATAGCAATACAAAATAACATGTTAAATTAAATACAAATCACATTAAAGCAATAACCATTTCATGGAGGACATGAAAACACAGCAGTGCAAAAGAAAAATAAATATATGTTTCCCTTTCCACAAAGTATCACATTTCTGGTGAGTCAAGATCCAGTTACCACCTTTATACAGTAGATGTTGCATAGAAATCCCACAGATAGTAAGTGTAGTTTCACTGCTAAGTTTGACTGAATGCTGAATGAACACGCTGCCCTGCCTCTTGACCCCAGTACACACACACACAGCATGACCTTTCTCAAGACTTAATGGGCATAGTAGATTTATAAAGACACAACATTGAAGTGTAAGCGTTAATATCAAGACAACACACTTATGACAAAAAAGCTGGGACGAAACATCAACATGCTACTGTTATAGCATTGTCGTATCTTGGAATGGTATCGTTTGTCTTTTGTTCGCTACAATATCTCCTGATATTGTCATCGCTTTGCTTTACCTCTCTACTTCCTCCCCATTGGAGAAAACAAAATCTCTGGCTATCTCGTGTTTAGCGGGATGATGATGTCAGTTTTACATTCTAAGCAGAAAAAGTGCAAAATACCACAAAAGCGTGCATTGTTGAGTTGACTGCTCCTATGAACGAAAGCAGGACTGATGTAAGACTCTTAATGTGCTTGGATCTCACAAAGAAAAAAAAGAAAAAATACTTAAATCTCTTATGGTAAATGTATCACATTCTAAGGGGCATCATGGATAAATAAAACCTCTATACCACAATCATCAAGACTTGATTGTCTGTGATAAAGATATCTATATATCTATCTATATATGTTATAATTAATTTCCAGCTATGACACTTCACTATATACAAAGTGAACCTTGATTGGTGATTTTTTTTTGTGTGTGCAGAACATGTGGCACTGCATACCAAATAGATAGACTCATGCACACAATATATAGTGTCCAATTTGATATATATCAATATAGATCCTTTATCAAACAATAATCATCATTTGATAGAACTTAGTTTACACGTATGAAGAGAAAATATGGGGTCCAAAGTGAATGAAGTCATGCTTGCTAAGGTTTTTTCTTCTTCTCTTGAACTGGAATGCTAGGTAGGTAGTGTGTTATAAAATATACTATGCTTCCTTCACAGGATAGATTTTTAAGTACTTAAATAATTGAGGAGAAAACAAATGATAGAACTCTACGCTAATATATAAAAATAAATAAGAGATCTCCGTAGAGGAGTCTTCAATATTTCGTTCCTAAAATGCTTTGTAAATCAAGAAAACTCTGCGATCATAATAAAGCAATGAGGAAAATCTTTCATGGATAAAACATCTAAATAAATCTACAAGTGTGTCCATTCCCTGTAGAATTAAAATTTCTCTTCTGCATGGATGACTGTGTGCAAAGGTATCGTAAATAATTGTGTGCGTGTGTGTGTTGTGAATTAGAGTGTGTAATACCTGGTTGATTCCGCGCTTGACCTCTGAACTCCTCAGCCCTGCCTACACCACTGTACACTGTATGTCCTGTAAACTTGTGTTCATTCCCTGTAAACACTACGTCCTCCAGACTTCCTGCATGACACGATCGAAAGCATCTTCCAAAACTCAAGCTATCTGAGCCCTGAAACAAAGATTGAAGAAAGAGATATTTTGCCCCCTCCCATACCCAAACCACCCTTTCTCCCACCCAGCAAGAGTGGATTAGTAACAGATGTTTATCCTAAGCATCACCAGATGCCAGACACCTCTTCATGCCCTCTCAGGTTTTTAGATTGAGGTTCCTTCTATGAGTGGATCTGGGCGGTGCTGGCGAGCAGCTTGTGCCAGCTCACCACTCGCTTGCGAAGGTCGACTTTGTCCAGCCACACGTAGGCCTCCCCAATCAGGGTCTTCTTTACAAACTTGCCACCATTGGACACCAGGAACAGCTGGATTGACAAGAAATCAACAACGGAAATCAGTATGTCATATGATTGAGTTTGACTTTTCAAGCTAGCTTTATGCTAAGCTAATTGTCTCCTGGTTCTAGCTATGATCTGGCTGTGTGTGCATGTGTTAGGGACTGGGGTATTACCTGTAGAGAGTGTCCGGTGGGGTTCATACAGAAGCGGAAGGTTTCATTAAAAGATGGCTCCCGGTCATGACGACACACTCTGGTTTTCTTTTTGATGATCCTCTTCTGGGTGGCGATGTTCACCACATAGAGCTTCACATAAAGATCTGAGGACAGACACACACACACACAGATCAGTGTGATGCTGACATCATATTACTATAACGTCATTTCAACTGTTGGTCTCTTTATTTATTGTGTCATGTTTCAATTGTTTACTGTTTGCTTTTGTTTCATTGCTTTTATATGTTGTTTATCTATATATTTTACCTACTCTGTCAAATATGTGTGTATACTTTTATGTGTTTATAGTGTTCAATGACAGACTAAAACCACAGAAAACCAAACCAAACCTTTTTATATTGCCATAAAGCAAAGTGAAACACAAAGCCCTGCATACAGAATTATGCAAACACACAACCTGTTTCTCCCATATAACAGATTTATTCTAAAAACAGTTAACCATAGAGGAAAACATTTGTATACTAGAGGGCAAAAAGAGGGCTGTAACTCCAGAAAAGTTGGTGTTTGCTTGAGTCAAAACCACTTAAAATGCAGAAAATAAACTCTGAGGCTACATAGAACAACCAAAACCAACTTTAGAAATAGTCACAGATGCAAATATCCAATAATAAGGTGTCCATGCTATGAGTCACTGCTACACATTCTGTACTTTACAGCCGCTACATACTGTCAATGGAAATAAAGCGTTGTGTGCAGATCCCATCTGGAAGCAAATGGAAATCAAACACGTGGCAGGCAGCTTGGGTATTAAGATGTAAATATTACAAGAGGAGGCGAGGAGGGCAGCAATCTGTGTTTTATCAAGGAAAAAGAAGTCTGATTTTGCTGTGTACACTACAGACAGTAGTCTGTCCAGTGTTCATAATGTCTAAATAATGTATGTAGATGCCACTGGTTGGATACTACAGTAGACCTTAATGGTGTTTTTAACCTTGCACATGTACTGTATATTATTGGAGACTGGTACATATAGGCCTAATGCAGCTTCCCAAGGGAATGTTGGCTGGAAACCCCTATCACGACACCTGTGGTTCTGCATCTAGAAAAACTGGCAAGGATTATGTGGTATGTCAGATGCCAGTCTTTCTAAACAAGTGTCTGTGTGGGCCTCCCGGCTGTCAAGCATTAAGAGTGATATGCATCACATTAAACTGTCTTTTATGTGGGTAATAAACGCTTTTGAAAAATGTGTCTGGAACATAACTTTAAATGCTGCATGGTGAGACCTTCTCATAGATAATTTGTGTGTGTATGCAAGCAATGAGAAGGTGTGTGTGTTATTTTCTATTACCAGGCAGGTGGTCTGGAGTCTTGAACTTGTATGTGATGTTGCGACACTGAAGAATCTCAAGGACCAGGTGCTCACCCTCCGTCTTAATTTCCTTCTTCAGAGCAATCTTTATCTCCCCCATTACCTGGGACTTACCTGAATACACACACAAACACTAAATCAGCTAGGCACAGTGAAATACATACTACATATGGATTAGAGTTTTTTTCTCAGCTATAAACACTCAATGCCTATTCTATCAATTTGCTCCCAGTGTGGCTGTTCTCTCACTCCCTCTTTGAAATGAAGCATCTTCTGTGTGTGGCTGCCCTCTGCTGGATGTTAACTGTACTCTCATGATGAGTAATATCAAACATGGCCTGGAAGCAATCAAATTTATTTGTTTAACAAGTATGGGGAGAAGTTATGAGGAGCTCTGCCTGGCTTCTGGTTGCCTTGGAAACTGAATAGAAATGAGTTTTGAAAGCTGGGTCAACAAGACTCTGGCAAGTGGTGTAAGGGTAGCCTCTGTGTGTGTGTGTGTGTGGCAATGCGTGCATGGTGAGACCTGTCTCATAGATAATTTGTGTGTGTGATGCAGAGCAATGGAGAAGGTGTGTGGTCGTCTATTTTTCTTGATTACCCAGCAGGTGGTGCTGGAGTTTGAACTCTGTAGAGTGGTGGAATGTGCGTGACACGAAGAATGGTCTCATATAATGGACCAGGTGCTCACGCTCCGTCTTTAAGTTCGCGTGTCTTCAGACAATCTGTAGTTCCGCGCCCCCATGTACCTGGGGGCTTACCTGAATACACACACAAGACACTAAGATCAGCTAGGCACAGTGACGAAGTACACTACTAGCAGTTGATGAGACGTTAGAGTTTTTGTGGTTTTCTTCACTATAAAACACTCAAGTGCTGATTCTCTATCGGAATTTGCTTGCCCAGTGTGGCTGTTCTCTCGACTTCCCTTCTTCTGAAATGAAGCATCTGTCTGTGGTGTGGCTGCCCTGCTGCTGGCATGGTTACACTTGTACTCTCATGATGGAGTATGTCAAACGACCCTGGCCTGGAAGCAATCAAAGTTTGATGTTGTTTGGTGAGACAGAGGTTATGGGAGAAGTTGAATGAGGAGCTCTGGCCTGGCTTCTGGTTGCGCCTTTGGGCAAAACTGAAGATAGAAGATGGAGGTTTTGTTAGAAGCTGGGTTCAAGCAAGATCTCTGTGTCTCTAAGTGGTTGTAAGGGTAGCCTCTGTGTGTGCTGGTGTGTGTGTGTGTGTTGTGTGTGTGTTGTGTGTGGGTGGGTGCGGGGAAAAAGAAACGACGTGCGAAACACAACATACAGTCCAGGCAACCAAAGAGGCCGCCTCTACGACTGAGGCCATCGAGAGACAAAACAGCGTAAGGTTGTGTGTGTTACTGAGCCAGTCTGACTGGGTGCCTGCCTGCCATCGGTTGTGTGCGGCGAAAGGACTAGTGTATGCAGGATCTGCTGCAGAGCTCGGAAAGTGTGTCAGAAGGAGGTCTGCGAATCGTGGGTGCCAGTGCGGGGGATCTAAGCACAGATGAGCTCATTGATAGTGGATGTAAATAGATGAGAGTGAGAAAAAGAGACCCGTACTATACATGCAGTTAAGTGGTGTGAGTAAGAGTTGGGGTCACAATATAATGCGCGAGACAGGAGAAAGACGCGAGAGAAACTGCACTCAGCTAGACAGTCAAACAGAAATCGAGGGAGGAAAATTATACTAAATTGTCGTGGTATCTAACACATGATATCTGTAGTTGTGCCTAGACCTTGATTGTAATTTTCGACTTTGTTTATTACAGGAGCTTGTATGGGTGGTCGTTATACATAGATATAGTGTCATTCTCACTAGAGACGCTTTTCATCTCGCACTTTTGTCAAAGTCAGCTGTCATGAATTACTTTTGCCTCAAAAACTTCCACAGGAGGAAGCGCGACAAATTGATGTGAAACTAGAGTATTTAGTGAGCTTTCTTGCCAATCGCGAATGCAATAGCGGGTGGTTGAGTTGACCTTTGATGAAGAAAGAAATGTAGTTTGAACAAATGCGTTGGTAATCTGTTATGGTATAACAACTCCCAACGGGCGTCCACGTTCGACATAGTACTATAATCTGCGCTCGCCTGATCAGCTGTTGGAGAATGGATCGATTGAAATGTAACGCAAAAGACTATTTTTCACGTATTTCGTTAAATACACGTTGGCTGATGCAGATTCATGGAATAGACCATGGTGTGGGGTTACACACCAATCAACAATAGATTATGTAAGTCTACTCATATAGTGAAGAGAGACAATGTCTAAAAAGCGCCTATCAAGGAAAAAACGTATGAAAAAACGGGGATAGAGAACGATTCAGGTGTGCAATTATGAGTATATATGGTGTCAGTCTAGAACTAATTATGTGATGTGTTGAGCCACTGTTAGATTGATTGTGATGATAGAAGTAGCTTACTATAACATACATGGAGAACTAACAAGTCATAGGGTCACGTGCCTCTGTTGGTCTACGCTGTGCATAAGAATAGTAGTGTATAGTTGTTGGTGTATGTTATTTGGTTTATTTATTTGTGGGTCACTGTTTTGTCTTTGTCTGAGAGAGAGATTCTAGTAACACGGTGGTGGTCATGAGTTTCTTTGATGGTCGCCTCGCGAGTGTTTGGTGTGCGCGGCGTTATTTCATTCAGTCAATCAGAGGTCTTCGATGCAATTTGCAATATAGGCTTCCGCTTTTGATGGCAACATAAGGGATTGGTTTCTGAAGTATTAAGGGTTGATTGATGATGACATTTTAGTGCTGCGATATGTAAGACTAATGCCTTTCTGTGGCTAGTTGTTTACGTTCTTGGATCGGCAGGAGGTCGCATTTTTCTTCGCGGGTGTCTCTTTCGTGATGGTGTGGTCGGTATCTCTGCAACCTCGTCGAGCGCTACAGAATCCAGTGGAGGTGCCCCGTCAGCAGCGCGGAGCGCGCGTCGGTTTTGGAGCAGCGGCTCTTGGAGTTGGGCAGGATACGCCGCCCTACTGGGACGAAGAAGGAGAGACAGAACGAGTGGACGGAGTGCCATCTTGCCAGGCTGCCCCGAATGGTGAGTCAAGGCTTTTATCGTATAAACCCAGTTTGCACATTTTGGGTAGTGCGTGGTATAGATGGTGTAATTTTTTGGATGCGTTGGAAATGACTACTTGCACTACACCCTTGGCCGGTCCATTCAAAGCAGGAAGATTGTTGAAGACTGTTTTGGTGTAGGTGTGTTGGTGCATTTCAAGGATTTTGTTTGGGCCGCCCCTGCTGCGTCGGTGTTGGAAAATCCCAAACGGCACACGTGTGAAATCATCAATGGGGAACGACGGCTGGACCATTGGAGTTAGACACACGGTAATGTATATGTTCGTATATTTCAGAATTGGTTTGTACTTGACGGGCTTTGTAGTTATTAGAAAACGGCTTACAAGTAATGCATTTTAGCATTTTTTCAGTACAGTTTCGTTATTCAGAGCTCCCCTCAAGGAGATAGTGTTGGTAGATAATAGTTAGACGAGGTGTACGTGGTCTTACTTGTTCTTTTTTCCTGTTCTGTCTTTTGCTTTATGCGGTTTAACATGGCTCTGTTCAACTTTGAGAAACCGGTAGACGTGGTATTTGTAGTTGGTGTTAGCGTCACTGATTTACTGGCTGGTATGTATAAATGTTTGTATGCATCATTCGACATTATATCGTAGACCTGTGTAATAATTATTTGTTCCAGGTTACTTTCATGATCTATCCATGATGATTTTTCCTAATTTCCCTTCTTTCTCCTGTGAAGTATTTGGAGCGCAAGTTTAATATGACGTAATGCCAAATAGATGGTAACTTGAAGCCCTTGAATACAGCTCACAGCTAGAACATCAATTTCAATTATTCTCTAACCACATTAATGTTTTTTTATTTTTTCTGATCTATCTGCTGCTCGTGTCTCTTTCAGTCGTTTGTGTCAATGTGTCTCTTTCGTCTGGGTCATAAACCGCAGCACACAACACACACACAACACAACACACACACACATC